TGGGGGCCTGGCTGCCAGTGGCTTGCTGGCTCATGTTTTGGGGCCACTGGGTTGGGGCAGTGATTGCTGACTTTGGGCCAGCAGGCTTGGAGCTGGCGCAGGCACTGTGGCCAGAGTTTGCCCCTTTAAGGGCTCCGGGGCTGGGGGAGACGGGAGGAGTTTTCCTGTTTTGACCCAGAGTGGCCATCAGGGGAAATTGGGAGGGCTGGGGGCCAGCTAATTTGGACTAAGCGTCTACACAGCGCTTAGTCCGAATTAGCTAATTCTAGTTTGGTGTTACTTCTCGTAGAATGAGGTTTACCAAACTCGAATTAAGCACCCTGCTATTCTGAATTTAATTTAATTTGAAATAGAGATTTGCTTGTGTAGACTCTATGGAAGTTAATTTGGAATAATGGCTGTTAGCAATTCAGTTAAAAACAGTATGCAACCTTACTCTGACCAATGGATAACTAACATCTATCTTACAGTTTTCCCAACATTTAATTATACCTTTCTTTATCATCCTTTCCTACCCAAAATGCCCACAGACTTGATTAGAAGTTTAGGTTGTACAAGAAAGGCAGGATCAGGACCTATTCTGGTAAATATTTAAATTCATCATAGGTGTGTATTAATACTATGCATTTATTTTTATTTTCACTCAATGACTAAACAATTTGGAAAACATAAGATTACCAAACATAGGACTATAATGTCAATAGCAAATTTACCTAATTTACCTAATATACAGAATTCTATAGTTCTTTCATTCCTTGTTCTAGGAACTAGCTTGCACAATCATATTTTTGTCAGACTCACTGCTCACAAGCTTTCAAACTGCAGCTTGGAAGCTTGGTTGCATTAGCAAGTCAATGATACATTTCTTAATTTTGTGTGAGTGGTTTACAATTATATGTTAAATATTAAAAAGGTCTATTTTAATGGAGTCCTAAAAGCTTATGGCATAAGTTTCACAATTGTAATTAATATACTGAAATTTTTACTGCCATCTGAATGAAATTAAGATGCTTTTATTTTACAACAGTAGCAGCTACAGTACTCAGGCATTGTCCTGTATTTCAGTAATGGAAATTTCCCATCATCAAAGCACACTCTGTCTCAGTCAGCTGCAATAATCATCTGAGTAATTTCAATATTGTTGAAGGTTTTGCTTGTCTTTAATGTTATCTAGATCTTCTAATTTCTGGAAACTTACTCCTTATCATGAGTCTTCCTCATCTTAAGAATGAACATTCAGTAAACAAGTTGAAGTTAGAGGAATTAAAACATCTACATCAAAATAATAACAGGGCCAAACTTAAGAAAACCCACACAACGGTATGTATATAGAATGTTATAGGAGCTGTTGATGTAACTAAAAACCTGATGTGTGTGTGTACTGGAATAACAAGTCCGAAGGACAGGAAGATTTTAAAAATAAAAAAGCCTTCAATTAAACTATGTATAAAAATCAACCTTTTGACCTGTTTATTTGTGTAACATTGTTAGGCAAACATGATACAATGCAAGGAAGTAGAAAAAACTGTAGATTTGCCTTATTATTAGTCATGTTCTCAGTGCTGCTGAGGGTCTGGAGCTTTATAGACATACAGTAAATGATGGAGTCCATCCCCTGAACAGTTGTCAGTCAAAATGTAGATATGGCAAGAAATGTTCACTTGCCAAAGAGGGGGGACTACAGGATAAAGATTACAACAAGAATGTTGGGGTTTTCAGGTTGCCTATGTATTGTAATGATTCCATTTGAAAATATTTCTTGTTTATAGCTGTTGGGCATAAGGAGGACAAAATCAGAGACTAAATTAATAAAAAGGAGGTTGGAAGTAGAAGAGGCTGTGGTGGGGATTAAGGATTTTAGATTTTGTGGTTTTTAGTAATTGTGTAGCTGCAATAATTTTGAACGGTTACATGGCTACTACAATGGCCCCTGAGGACGATGCCTGCAACCAGTGCACTCTCAGCTTTCAGACCCACTCCTGGGAAGCCCCTGCCACCATGTGCTGCTGTTTCTGAGACAGAGGCAACAGTGTGGGGAAGGAGAGCAGACAGTTCTGCGGAACCAGGACGTGGAGAGCTGCCTACAAGTGAGCTCCTGCCTGCCTGCCCCCCATGCTGCTGCCTCTGTGGGAGGCAGCAGGGGAAGGGAGGGGGGAGAGGAGAGGCAGCTCCATGGGAACTGGCTTAAATGCTGTCTCCCCATGGACACCGTCCCTCTGCCCTCCTTGCAGCCTCTGATAGGGTATGTCTAGACTACATGGCTCCGTCGACAGAGCCATGTAGATTAGGTTTCTAGACATAGGGAAATGAAGTGGCGATTTAAATAATTGCCACTTCATTTACATCAAAATGGCTGCCGTGCTGTGCCAATCAGCTATATGGCGGCATAGCGGGGCAGTCTGGACATGCCGCGGTCAACAAGGGAAGCCTTTGTTGACTGCTCCGGTAAACCTCATTTCATGAGGCATGAAAGGCTTCCCTTGTCGACCACGGTGCATCCAGACTGCCTCGCTGTGCCGCCAAACAGCTGATCGGCACAGCACGGTGGTCATTTTGATGTCTAGTAAACTCATCTACATGGCTCCATCAACGGAGCCATGTAGTCTAGACATACCCTCTGTGACCAGTTTCTCTGTATTTGTCAAGATAGGAGTTGTTTGGATTAACCAGTAAACACAGGCTTATGGGTTCATTGTTTAAATGACTATATGTTAACATCCCTAGTGGAGATAAACTGAATGGGGGACAGATGAGAGTGAGGTAGGGCAGTAGCAGGGATTTGGTGATTGGGGCAGCATCAGGGTCATAGCCTTAAAGACATATTAGAAAATATAATACAGGCAGTCCCCGACTTACGCGGATCCGACTTACGTCGGATCCGCACTTACGAACGGAGCTTTCTCGCCCCGGAAGTCGGGGCGAGAAAGCCC